GGAGAGCCGAATGGAGGCAGAAGCTGTTAGGATTATCAGGGAAGGTCTGACATTTGAACGGCAACATAAAAAAAATGATTAAGTAAGACATGTGAGGATCTGGGGGAAGAGCATCCCAGGCAGACAAAAGGCTCCTCAAAGGACCCGCGACTGAAAGAAGCCTGGTGTTTGACAAATACTAAAAGGCTAGTATGCCTAGTCAGGTGAGCAAGGGAGGAAAGATTTTCCACTATGAAGTCTTCGCTACTAATTTAAAAAAATACGTTACTTAAAATATAATTTTTTAAATGAAAAAATCAACCATGCTCATTATCACAACAGACTATTATCCTGAATGTTTCTTTATAAAAATTTTGCCTTTTGATTATACCGTTGTCCTGACATTTTAAGGTTAACCTGAGAGGAGCTACACCTCTCCTCATACACAGCGAAGTATGATTTTAATGCAATTAAGAATTAAAGTATCTGTAATAGAATACAATGATTTTTAGGGCCAAATCGATTTTGCGGTTTAGGAGATGATTTTCTATGGGTACCATAAACCAAAACCATGTATTCTATTTTTCCAAAAATAGGAACAAAGTATGTAAAGTAGCTTCAGAAGTCATGGAAACCTGAATACAGCTGCAAGTAGTTCACCAAAACACTGTTCAAGTCACACAAGAACTTGTTTGGATTCACTTTCCTTAAAGACCTCACTCCCATCTGATTTTTCTTTTTATGCTTGCCAATGATCCTTCCACATTTCCTATTTTTAAGAAAAACAAGAATAGTATTTTAGATCTCAAAATGCTACCAAATTTAGTAGGCAATATTATGGGATTTCTATCAAAAATAACCCCTGACTCTGGGTATTCAAATCATTTGACGTATTTTTAAAAAGGAGAGAAAAAATACTGGAAGAGACTGGAAGGCACCCCTTGTCCTTAAAAACTCTTAATTCTATAACTATGGGTAGAAGATACCGGTTTCCACTATATGAATGTCATGTATGTCATGAATCCTGTTTCTCAATATCGTTTCGGGCAGAAAAATCTATTTACCAATATAATGCAAATAACAATGTGCATATAGCAAAGGAACATACATGTATTTCACATATTGAAAATGAAGAGCTGCTAAACACAATAATTAAAGAGCTGAATGCTAGCTGTATTAAGTACTAGTTGACCTTAATCAAGTTAAGTTTATTCTGTACATGCAGCAAAATTTTTATGCTGTATGGGAGAAACAAAATACTAGGTACTCAGTAATAAAACATACTTTGGGTTTCTCAAATTTTGTCCAGTTTTATACAGTGTTTGCCATTTATGTATATTGAAAAAAGGTGCTACAAGTACTGCAAACTGAAACAACTTGGACTTTTTTACTTTGATTCAACATCTTATTAAATGGTTATCTATAATAAAAGATTAAAATTATAAAAGTTGTCTTTTTACTGAAATTAAATGGGGTGAAATGAACATTACACTATGAATACATGGATAATATATATTGCTACAGGACATACTCTTAAAAGCTTTATTATTCGTTATTCACTGAAAATCTTTCATCAAAATCAAAACATGTACCTACTGTTTATTACACTTTGCTAAGGACTCGCATGAGAGCTCACTGAAATTCCATTTGTTGTCCATGATTTTTAATACGTAAAGATCCAGCTAGCTTCATGGAAACAGAACTTTATACTGGTATTCCAATCAGGAACGATCCCATTTCCAGGCTACAGAAACTCGTAAGACTGCTGAGAGCTGGTTATGAATGCTCTAGAGACATAAAGTAACCATCAGTTTTGCTATGTGAAATAACTAGTACAAACCCTAAGCAATATAGCCTCTTCTAATTATCATCACTAAAGGAGGCAGTGGTAAATCCAAGGATAGTGACCCAGGACTTTCTGAAACTGAATTCAGAGTCCTTTCCACATATTGAAAATAGAATAAACAGGATTACTTTCAGAATCAACTTGGAATTACTCTAAATTTTGGATTAGAACATAGCCAAATAATGTTCTATTTTCAAAGAAATAACTTTAAACAATTCCAATCCATTTTAAAATTAAAAAACTCAACATAATTAACTGCTTCCATCATTGTATGCTCATCACTTTGCAACTTGCCTAGCAATCTCTACCTGGTTCTTTTTCTTGTTTAAAGTAATGTGGAGGCTTAACTGCCTGTCCATAAATGAGTACCCAGAAAGAAGATATAAACCATTTTCAGGGGAAAACATGCATGCATTTATTTTTAAGAATTCCCAGTAAGGGCAGGGGGAGGGGGTAATTCAACATCTTTAAAAATGTGTTTATTTTTTTAAAAATCAGTTGTGTACAAAAGTGTTTTGTAGTTTTAACTCTCAAGACAAACACCCAACCCTCCACCCACAGCCCACCCAGCTTCATGGTCTTTCTGGTAACCCACCCATTTTCCCCTTACAGGAAATTGACAGCTCAGAACAGACCCTCCTACAGAATTTATCACTAACAGATGGTTTAGAACAGAGATCTAGAGAAGCTAACAAGCAAAGTTCTTTCTTGGTAAGATTAATGAGAATCCCTATAATGGCAGTAGACTTCCAGCAGACACAACGAAGCACCATCAATTGCTGAAAGCTAAAAAATAGATAGTATTTTCAATAGTATTTCATTTTCTATTGGAAAAGTCTTTAAATTACATTAAATAAGTCTCTTCCCCCCTCCCCCCAAAGAAATAGTCTAGCTTTTATTATGATGCCTGTAAAAAGTAGGGAACAGCAAGCACAGAAGGATTGGTTAACAGCACAGTGCAATGATTTGTATCCATTCACCCCTAGAATAAAACTAATAACCTGTGCCACACCTGATTATATATAGCAGCATGGTTGAAATAACCAAGCAAAAGGTGGCACATTCACAACTTACATTTAGGTGATGACAGGTTTATAAGGGTTGATCAGTCCAATTAAGTGGTAAACGAACAAATGAGACAAGGGAGATACTGGCATTTCTCTACCCTGTGCCACAATATTTTTGATCCATATTGCAACAGTGTAACTAGAACGTGTGACAAAATATGTAGACAGTGCAGAAAAGTTACATTTGGGAAAAAGGCTATTTATCAGTATATACTTCAAGTTGCCTCCCTCCCCAGTGATAGCAAATAGCACATATTAAGCATTTCTGAACTGGTACTAAAAGAATGGAAATGCAAAAACTTTAAATCAATGGTTTGTACCCTGGAATTGAAATTTCTTTAACTAGAAAAAGTGATTAATACAACATCATTTTGTACAAGTCCATGAAATAAAGTTAACTGTAAACAGCTTCCATTTTCATCCAAACGTTTCCATCTATGTACAAGAAAGTATACCTGGCTCCAACTCTTCCCTGTCCAAATCCATCTTAAATCTTTGAAGTAACAAAATGTTTTATTTCCTATTTTTCTACAAGACTGTGGAAACATTATCACACTCCTACTGCAGCTTTAAAAAGCTCAAATCAAGTATACACTTTATAGCCAAGATTTGCTTTTCACATCGATAAACTTATTAAGCAGCCTAAACAGTAACATGACATGCTACATTCTGCAGTGCATAAAAAAGCAATATCCACTTTAACTGCCAATTCTTATACTTTAAAAAATTATTTTGCATAGTTTTAAGCGTCAACAATCATAAATGTGAAATAGCTCCCCCAAATCAGTCTTACTTTAATATCATATTCTCCTCAAAAGCAAAATACTTGGAATCCAAACATATACATATATATATTTGAATATGTTTTAAGTGAACCACTGTTGTCACAATTCTAAACATTTGGGGGAGCCAACTCAGAGCATCGAATACATGTTCCTCAAATATTTATATACTTACTGTATACTTATTTGGGTCACAAATTGCTATTTATTCACATTCAGTAATCTGTACTGAAATACTACATAACTAATTATTTGTTCTTTTAAAGGTCAGGCACACACGCATGAAACAGACTTAATTATAGTAAAAGCCTATTGGTCTATCAGTGGCTTCTAGAAAATCTGCCTGCCCTAAATAGGATGGCACTATTTATTTTTTAACCAAAATTTTTGAGGCCTTAAAAACTGACAAATCACAAAAAAATTGAATTATAAAAATAATTTTCACCAGGGTACCTATGCTTTTAGTGTCCTTTTCCAAACATATATAAGACCAGAGAAAAATAAAGAATGCCTTCATTTCTATGTCTGAGGAAATAAATCTACCTGTAGAAAAGTGAAAAGAAAAGCAAGAAAACAAAAAACACCAGGATGACAGCGGGACATGTACCAGATAGGAAAAGGGGACTGATAATCACATTACAGGAAAATGAGGTAAATATATTTTGAAATGAAAAATCCATTATGGAAAACTTTCATACCAAATATTGTACTTTTTAAATTTCCTGGGCACTTGGATACTGGATGTTGAATTATAGATGAGTAGATACCCTACAGAGCAAACGTGCATAAAAATCAAAGGCAAGGTATAGTTGTCTCCCAGAGTTAAGTGTGTGATGCTTGACCTTTAGTAATTACCTCTGAGTTCTCTCCTTTATTTAACCACAGGACAATTAAACACACCCTGATAATATAGGTAAATAGTAAACTGGGTAGATGTGTTTGATACTTGAAATAATTCAAATATTACTAATATTACCAAACTGCTCTGCACTAAAAAAAAAAATTCTAACTAAAAATGCAACAAAAATGTCTACGCTTTCACACAATTCTAGCTTTTCTTCAAAATATAAAGAAAAGTACAAAGTTTTAGTTCTTTAAAATAAATAAAGAAAAATCTTGTTTCCTTTGGCATTTTTAGAAAATAACTAAACTACAACAACTAAAGGAGGTGACTGTATAAAGAAATCTATGCTTAAACAAACATATAGGGGAAAAAAGCATAGCAACTTGTGTTTAGTATGCAATAATATCAACTACAAGAGTTTACTATTGATTAGGAAAGGCTTACAAGTTTCTGGAAGAACCTTCACATCTTTAACAATACCATATATTTAACAATGGTTCTTTTTATTGCTTCTAAGATTGAGAAGTCGAATGAAATTATGCTGAATTTATGGTTCAAAATTATTTTCCAAACACTTAATGATTATAATTTAGGATAAATAACACTTGGGAAAAAAGCAAATCTTTTATAATATGACTTTCAATATACAGCCTTACTTTAATTCATTCTGATTCCATTACATTTTTATTATTTTGCATTGGTCCTGAAAATTTAATAAGAACTGTGTTTCTATGTATAGAACTATCTGCATAAATCCATTTCAACCCTCATAAAATGGTCACATTAGTGTTTGAGCTTGCAAAACTAATAATTTTCAAACTTTTGAACTTAGAATGAAATGTAATTTTAATACGAATAGAAAGTCTGACTATGTACAAGAGAAGGTAAAGTTTTCAATCTTCATATTATCAGAAACATCATAAAGAAAGCTAGATTTATAACACACTTCTATTCCTATGTGCATTTGAAGTATGTACAGTAAAATACCAACACAGCTTTCATGTTTCAATAGGGGGAAATGCAAGCAAGAGAAACTTTCAAAGTATCCAATACAGCAATCTCCATAAAGCCAAAATTAGGCCAGAAAACTACAGTTGATTTCATCCTTTCAAATTCTCAAAGAAAAATTTTGTCAAGTTTAAAAATAGAAAAATCAAATTCACTGAAAAACTAAATTGGTTCTTTGATCAAATCTTGGGAATACTGCAATATCAAGTATTTACTGGTTTTACAAGAGAAACAAAATGGGCGCCTCCGATTTTACATTATTACTTACTTACATAGGAACGTTTTAAAAGTGAAGATCTGTGACAAAACATTCTACATAGACGACTCAAAAATGGAGCAAGGGATATTGCTCCTCAGCACATTTCCTCACCAAATATAGAGAAATTTACTATTAGAATATAAGCTGTGTGTGGTAAGAGGGAAAAAATAGATATGGTGTCCCAGTCTGTTAACAAGGACAAAAAGGCTCTGAATAGGTCACCATCTTCAATTCTGGATAAATTTCATATTTAAGAATTCTCAAATGCTTAAAATGGTGGTCTTTTCAGCTACCCATCCTAAGAAGTCAAGTACAAGCATGCAAGTAAATTCACAGGCACAGAGGATCCATGTTAAAAACAGTTAAGGTAGCTGTGATGCAACACCAACAATTTGAATGGCCCTGACACACTCAAATATTATCTTAATTATTCGACGAAATCCCGAAGCACTCTTGCTAGTCTTGGTACACTGCTAAACACTAAAGTAGCATGTTTTTCCATGGTTTTAGCTTAGCTCGAAGAATTTTTACACTATTAAGAAAAAAATTAAAGTATTTCCCCTTTTTCAATTTACACAGACGTTTAATTAGCTTTATTTACATAGCAGGGATTTTGTTTTTCAGTCTCCAATGGTGCCTAGGTAACATCATTAGGCAAGAATGCCAGTTTAAAAGAAATCTATGCAGAATCCTAAAAATAACAGATGTTGATGCTCCTCAAGAAGGGGCAAACTTGAATATATCAGCAGCTCTCTCACTCATACAGGTGGTAAATCAGTTACTCAGAAGCAGTTCTGTTGCAGTCTCTACATCCCATGATTTTGAAGACAAGGCCACTATTACCGCATTCTGTAGAGAAGAAAAAGGGGACAAAAAAATTAATTCTCAAGGAAATATTTTTAAAATACTGAATCACTCACTGTCTTTATATTGAAAACCATCTTCTTTTTATCTCTGTTGCCTTGCCACTTGTATGTGCATTAAGAGCTTCTAAAACCAATGATTAGAATCAGAAAAAGAAAAGGAAAAATCACTGATTTTAATAATAGGAAGTTTGTTTATTAACAAACTTTAGAGTATTTCTGAACCACTTCTGACAGCTAAGGATATGCTGCAAAGATTTAAAATCAACCATATATCAATATCAAAATGCCTTTTTTGTTACTTACCCTATCAAAGCCCATAGCACATAGGTTTTCTATTTTTTTGGTGTATTCTGGACTAGAAACTGGTGCTCCAGCATACACATGTGCCCAAAGTCGAGCCGTCTGTTTGAACATTTCAGGATTTTGTTTGTACTATAAGAGGAAAAAAAATTGATTGACATGACAACACAGTTGTAACATCCAATATAGTGGCTCAACTCTTAACTGCTTAAGAACCTGCTTTTTCTAAATAAAACCAATATAGATTTAAAATATGATTTACTTTCCATTAAAAACTATGTCACTCAAGAAAAGATTAACCTGAAGCTATAATTTGTAAGTTATATTGACAAAAGACACAAATAACATTTATCAACTTTAATCTCCAATTTCAACAAATATAAGTAGCAGAAAACTAAGTGAGGTACTAGAGATGTTTCTAAACATTGTGTAGGGCAAATGTTATACAACTAAACACAATTATACGCTTCTAAAAGAACATAGACATTAATAAGTGTGACCAACTTTTGTATTAACCACAACTCAGGCTAGAATATACAACTGGACTTTGCTGTTCTGCAAGAGCTGTATTAGTGTACAGTGATTTAAGAAAACCCATATGCAAAGCCCTAAATTACAGCATATATTTTGGGATGATTATGAACTCACCATACAGTACTTTTAAAAGATAAGACTTCCTATATGCATTGGAAAGAGGTAAATTTATTCTCAAATATTCCACTATTACTTAAGCAAAGTATAAATTTAAAATAACTGTTTAATTCACTTTAATATTTCTTTTTAAAGTATTTTACACATCTTTAATACTGTGTTTGAGTATGTTAAAAATCAATAAATTGTTTTCACTATTACATATTACAAAATAATCTTACCACAAGGAAGGAAACCATTTCCAAATTTAGTTTCAACAGAAATGCTCATGTGTCAACATTGCAAGACACTGAAGTAGAGACTCAAAGGTAAGTATAAAGTCTTTCAAAAGCAGCTATCATACCTGATTTGCTACTACTGCATCTTGTGGATCATCTGGTTCTGCAGCTGCCAACAATGCTTGCAATGACAGTAATACCGTGCGGAGAGTCATTGCTGCTGCCCTAAAATGAAAAATAGGGAAATATCAAATTAAGAATAATCTGCATGATAAAAGCAAAATGGATGTTTTCTGAATAAATCGCAATAACTACTGGAGCTAAAAATAATCCAGGTTTTAGCTTAATAATTGAGTTACAGAAATTTATAATTACACATCTGCCTATTTTTTTCTTGTTTACAATGAATGAGTCTCTCTATTCTTAAGATAATTCAAGCTGTCCTTGTTTTTTTGTCTTGTTACCAATACCCTTCTGGTAAGCTTTATCCACTGACTTACTTTCTATTCGTTTCTCTAGGCACAAAGTTAAAGTGATATGCTAATATATGGAAATTTCTTTCAAAGGCACCCTAAAAACAAATAAGGTACCATCAAGCAAATACCTTTTACTTTCAAGAAAGCCTGAAATCATTCCATAACATTCAGAAACACAGCAAGTTTTTTTTGCTGAAAATACAACTCTTAATTCATGCTTCCAAATATATTTATAAAGCAAATATGTATCTAAAAAATGTTATTTACCTAACCAACAAAGATTCACAGCATTTCTGTTAAAAAATTGGCCAATTAATATAGCAATATTTATAAATATAATAAGCACAAAGTGAAATATTTAAATATTTGATGACATTACATATGCCCATTTTACCACATAAATTACATCATTATAAACCAGTCATTTTCAATAAGGTTCCTCATTTTGATCACAGAACAGAGAAAATTTCTGAGTGGCTGCTTTCTCAATTTTCCCAAGGATAGCACCATTTTACATGCTTAGAAGGTTAATTTATTACCAACAATGGATATCTTAAGACAGCATGTTTTCTCCAAAGAGCAGCATCAACATCAACTGAGAACTTGTAAGATATGAAAATTCTCAGGTTCATCCCAGACCTACTGAATTAGAAACTCTGGTTTAACAGGTATTCCAAGTGATTCTGATGCAAGCTGAAGTCTGAGAAATACTGCTTTAGTGCATTACAGATTAAGCTAATTGAGAAAGGCTGTTCTAAACCAATTAAATCAGTTTCACCTCTTTAGGTCTCTATTATATTAGAGAAAAATTACATCACGAATAGTTCTTTAAAATACTATCAGAATGTTTTTTTTTTTTACTGATCAATATATTCTTTTAGAGGAACAATAGGAATAGGAAAAAAATTGGTTTGATATTTAAAAATGAGCTGAAATGCTAAACTAGTATTAACAAGAGAATAAGATATTAAAACCTTTTAAAACCATCATATAATTTTACGTAATGGAAATTTCTAATTCTGAACTAGGGCTGGGAAAGTAGAAACTTTTTCTAGAGTAAGGTTGTAAATTTCCTAAGAGTTTACATAAGTAATTTTTAACTAATATTTGTAACATCTTTAAAATGGATATTCTTTTAAGACAGATGTCAAAGCATAAAAATCCAAATTTAGTCCTTATATGTTCATTCTTTGTCCTGCCATAATACCATAACAAGGTTGAACTCTTTCTGAATTAGAAGCATACTACTGAAATTTCATTTTGTTTGGGTAACTTTAAAGAGAATGTTGAAAGGCACATGCACATCAAAAGCTGCCTAAATGTATCAGCATGAAGTTGACTTAAAACACCCAAAAAGGACAAAAATACAAAATGGCACAGAAACAGAATATACAAAGTTGAGCTGGCTACTCTAATATCCCAATGGACTTAAGCATCCTAATTAAAAATCCCATGCCGTGTAATCATTTTAAACAAAATCTTAATTTAAATTATTTTAAATTAATACAATTGTTTCTTTGAAGGAAATTTATATGAATACTGAAGAAAAAGCTTTACTCGAAATAAATATTTCATATTAAAACGATTAAATTCACAGTAATTATTTTAATTTGCAACAAAATATAAAACAATGTAAAATAAAAGCCATCTAAATCTTAGCAAAATCTTAACATTACAAAGTAGCTTTATATATTTATAAACATTTAACTTCATGGGCTCTCAAAAGAATGAAGATGGGCCCTTGACTTACACCATGTATAAAATTACCTCAAAATGAATCAAAGACCTAAATGTAAGAACTAAAACTTAGAATATATATAAGAAAGACTTCATGACATTGGAGTTGGCAATGATTTTCTCAGACATCGTCAAAAGCACAGGCAACAAAAGAAAAAAATAGAGAAATTAGTATATAAATACATCAAAGGTAAAAACTACTGTGTAGAGAGGAGGGAAAAGAAACCTTCCTGTGCAAAGGATATAATCAGCAGAGTGAAAGGCCACCCACAGAATGGGAGAAAATATTTGCAAATCATATATCTGAAGAGGGGTTAATATCTGGAATATTTAAAGAACTTCCATGCCTCAAGTACAAACAAACTCGATTAAAAAAAAAAAAAGATAAAGGACTTGAACAAAGATTTCTCCAATGAAGATATATAAATAGCTAATAAGCACATGAAAAGATGCTTAACATTATTAATCATTTGGGACATGTAAATTAAACAATGAGATACCACCTCACACCCATTAGGATGATTCCTATATATATATATATATATATACTCCTCTTCTGCTTCTTATCCTCTTACCTGCCTTTCCTAAACAATTTATTCTAAAATCATTAGGTAGAGCTAAGCAATCTAGGCAACCACGTACAAGGGGTTAGGGGAGGCATATACACCA